AGCCGAAGAGCCAGCGTTGTCAGAGACTACTCTGTGATCATATGGCCAATATGATGACACAGAATGCTATTGACCTTCCCACCAAAGTTGTACCTATTTATCTACTTGCATTTGCGTGCTTTTGAACTGCTAGGTTGGCAGAAGCTGGGACTAGTGACAGGAACTCACCCCATCATGCGGCACCTGGGCTTCGAACTGCCAACCAGTTGATCTACAGAGTCAGCATCTGAACCACTTGACCCACTGCATCTGCCTTTTACCAATGGACAAAAACTGAAGCCAGAATTTAATATTAGATTTCACAGCAAAATTTAATATGAGATGTCACATTACATGTGACAAATTGCGGGGTGGGAGTGGGGATTTTCCCATTCCAGTCCCCAGATATCTTGACTGCAGCTCAGCGTGGCTCGTACACCCTTGGAAACAATGCCAACAGCAAATAATGCCTGTCCAAAAAAGGAAAAAGAAAAGCCTGGCCTTATCAGCAGCATTGGTGTTTAAATCAGAAAAGTATGCCAAACAATTTGTTTTTGAAAAGTCACCAGTTTAATGGAATTGCATAATGCTCAGCATTTGTTTTCCAGATCGGGATACTCCCCCTGTTCTTGTGTGGGACCTTGGCTGATCTGCAGGGTTTGTCCTTTTCTCTTTGACGTGTTGTTTGGGGTAAAAGAGAGACTGCCCTAACCTAGGATGCTGGTGCCTCACAAAGCTACAACTTGAAGGATTCTGTAGGATGGAGCTGTGGGAGTTAAAAGTGGTATCAAACTGCATTATTTCTACAGTTTAGATGCACCCCTAATGCTGGCCACTTAGGAGCTTGGAAGACAGCCCCGATAGAACTGCCTCTAGCCAGACCTTTCCTTGCCGGATCAGGCCTGCAGCAACCACACGCTGCAGCCCCAATCCAGCAGGTTGCTGCTCTAAAAAGAACCAGCAAAATGCTGTCCTTTTTAGAGTAGCAAAAGGGTACCTTTGCCGCTGTGGTGGTGGGATTTTACCAATTCTTTGGTGCAATGTGTCTACATGCTGTGCTGAAGATGCAGCGTGATGCTTCCTGCTGTCTGGTTGGGGAGGCGTGTGATGCCAGCGTCAGGGTGGCGTTTGGGCATGCGGTGTGCGATCGCCATGCCCCCACTCTGCCCTGACGGCAGCTCAAAGTGCTGGTCTGTAGGGCCCCTTAGTGACAACAGTTCTCAAGTTCATTCTGGCATGAATTCTTCCCCTGTCAACCCCAACCCCTCCAACATTTTACAGATCAAAACCAGGACTCGTGGCCAAGAATGTGGTTAAGATGGCAAGACACATCAGAGTGGGATCAATTTGGCAAAATTTATTAATGAGGAAGAACATACAAGCTAGGCAAAGCTGCAGTAGTGTACCTTGTCCTGAGTCTACTGGGATGACTCTGAAGACCATGGTTTGATTCCCTGCTCACCATGGAAATTCACTGGGTGACCTTGGGCAAATCACACACTTTCAAGTCCAGAAAACCGCATGATAGTTTTGCCTTAGAGTTGCCATAAATCAGAAATGACTTGAAGGCACACAATATAACAACAACAACTGGGTAGGGAATGATTTAACCCGCTCCTCCCTGCTGAGTTAACTGACTGCAAACTACTTTTGCACTTTGAATAAAGTTTGCAGCAATTTAAACAAGCTGATGACAAAGGGGGAAAGAGGAGGAGGAGAATGAAACTGGGACACTGGGACTATCTCTGTCAGTTTAGGACAATTGGAGGGTCTGTGGGTTCTGTGCATTCAAGTCATTTCTGATCTTTGTCGATCCTAAGGCAAACCTATCCTAGGGTTTTTATGTTCAGAGGAGGTTTGGCATTGCCTTCCTCTGTGGCAGAGAATGTGTGACTTCCCCAAGGTCCCGCAATTGGTTTCATAGCCAAACTGCAAATCGAATGTGAAGTCGTAGGCTTTCATGGCCAGCATCCATAGTTTTTGTGGGTTTTCAGGCTGTATGGCCATGTTCTAGAACTTTGCAAATCGAACTTTGCAAATTGATCTTTGATCTCCAGAGTTGTAGTCCAACACTGAAAGCATTACGTCACACTGATTCTCAGTTGGAGAGTACATAATGTTAAACAAGAGACTACAGTAACAATATAATTAGTTAATCATGTGAGCTGCAAACCTCTCTGGAAGCCAAGATGACCAAGCTGAGGCTGTTGTACTTCGGACACATCATGAGAAGGGAGGACTCTTTGGAAAAGACAATAATGCTGGGGAAGGTGGAGGAAGTAGGAAG